AGCAGTGTATCATTAAATACAGTCAACAGTGTATCACCACATACAGCCAGCAGTGTATCATTAAATACAGTCAACAATGTATCACTACATACAGCCAGCAGTGTATCATTAAATACAGTCAACAGTGTATCACCACATACAGCCAGCAGTGTATCATTAAATACAGTCAACAGTGTATCACTACATACAGTCAACAGTGTATCATTTTATGCTGGGGAGTGTATCAATCAGTAGTGTGTCACTAATCAGTCAGTGGCGCCACTTCGTGTCTTTAGTCGGTTGCTGAATCGACAAAGGCACAGCTGTTGAGCGCTTCCAATATTGCATTTCCTGTGGTAAATTGAAGATTTGAAAGCACCAGGACCGCCGGTAACAGTCGGATGTTTGCACACGCGGCCAAGAGCGAAGAGATCAATAGAACTATCACGTGCGCCCACGCATTGCCTCCCAGAGGTGAAGGTCACGGTGATTCATTGAGCCCGCTGACAATGGATCGCTGGGACATAATCGCAGCCTCTGCAGGTGGGCGAGTGATGAAGCCGATGAGAATGTGCGAGATGAAGGTGAACAGATGGCCAGAAACATGGCCCAAAATAATTGGGGATTTCAGTCGGAAGTATTACTTCATTGCCAGGCCAGATGTGCTGGGTCACAGCAACCCAGCTACAACATAGAGGCGGGAATGCAAGTGCAGCGAGGCGATCATGAGCGCCTGGTGTCCTGGGGTGACCTTCCACGAGCTGTGATTTACTTTCATCTTCTACTCATCGGTACTCTGAATCCAAGTAGCCAAAGCACCACAGAAATCAATGTCCCGTTCTCAGTGGGCAACATGGGGGTCGATACAAAGACGGGGGGGGGGGGGGGGAGGACGCTCAGCCCCTTTAGTTTATCGGGGGGGGGGGGGTGAGGACGCTCAGCCCCTTTAGTTTATCGGGGGAGAGGACGCTCAGCCCCTTTAGTTTATCGGGGGGGGGGGGGAGAGGACGCTCAGCCCCTTTAGTTTATCGGGGGGGGGGGGAGAGGACGCTCAGCCCCTTTAGTTTATCGGGGGGGGGGGGAGAGGACGCTCAGCCCCTTTAGTTTATCGGGGGGGGGGGGGGAGAGGACGCTCAGCCCCTTTAGTTTATCGGGGGAGAGGACGCTCAGCCCCTTTAGTTTATCGGGGGGGGGGGGGGGAGGACGCTCAGCCCCTTTTGTTTATCGGGGGGGGGGGGAGAGGACGCTCAGCCCCTTTAGTTTATCGGTGGGGGGGGGGGGGACGCTCAGCCCCTTTAGTTTATCGGGGGGGGGGGAGGACGCTCAGCCCATTTAGTTTATCGGGGGGGGGGGGGACGCTCAGCCCCTTTAGTTTATCGGGGGGTGGAGGACGCTCAGCCCCTTTAGTTTATCGGGGGGGGGGGACGCTCAGCCCCTTTAGTTTATCGGGGGGGTGGAGGACGCTCAGCCCCTTTAGTTTATCGGGGGGGGGGGGGAGGACGCTCAGCCCCTTTAGTTTTATCGGGGGGGGGGGGAAGGACGCTCAGCCCCTTCAGTTTTATCGGGGGGGGGGAGGACGCTCAGCCCCTTTAGTTTATCGAGGGGGGGGGGAGGACGCTCAGCCCCTTAGTTTATCGGGGGGGGGGGGGGGAGGACGCTCAGCCCCTTTAGTTTATCGGGGGAGAGGACGCTCAGCCCCTTTAGTTTATCGGGGGGGGGGAGAGGACGCTCAGCCCCTTTAGTTTATCGGGGGGGGGGAGAGGACGCTCAGCCCCTTTAGTTTATCGGGGGGGGGGACGCTCAGCCCCTTTAGTTTATGGGGGGGGGGGGAGGTACTTCTCTTCTAGGTCATCCCATTTCAGGGATTCATAAATTTCATAGGGAGGTCACCACTAAGACCAACGGGGTGTGGTGGGTGGGTTGGTTATGGTTGGTTTGTGTTTAGTTCACACCCTAACACTCCTATACTATTGGATTGAATGCTTTCATTTTATACAATCAGATCTCGTCGTCGGCTTTGAGATTTGGTAGGGAAATCCCCAGAAGGTCCATTAGTATAGGGGGTTAGGGTTAGGCCCATTTATTTAACACTAGCCCTAACCCGCCCCCCCCCCCTTTTTACTCCGGTATTGCTCAGGGAAACCTCTATGGATCCCTAGAGATTCCCTACGAAATCTCGAAGCCGACAAGGTGTGGTCGGATAAAATTAAAGTACACTGGACTGTCACGGGAACATCTAGGAGTTTGAGCAACGAGCTAGTATATCATTTTGGCGCCAAGACCGTCAGTAGCCGGAACGCTCACGGCGAACGAGGGCGGTTTTCTATGAACATTCAATCCACCAACGACTGTTTGCAGAAGACACGGCCCAAAACGGCAAGAATAAACGTGTACTCAAAACTCCTTGAATGTGAAGTCCTAGGGTGGGTGGAAAGGTGGACAAATCCGTGATCTCTGTGGTATTTTGCTGGAACAATCAGGATCATACATACCACACACATATTGAGGGTTAACCGACTCCTATGGGTTTTCCCGGAGTGGAATAATCTTTTCTCGTAAACCATGAATGTGTTAATCCCTTGTATTTCACGATAAAGTAAGAGAGTGGGTGACCTTACCTGAAAGTACTTGACATAAATGATACTCTACAGGATCGTGTCTACCATTTCCTATTTTCAATCAGAAGAGTAAAAGTCCCTGATGTGTTTTCAGTCAGTTTAAAGCCACAACAGCGGAACGTACATGCTCTTGAGGGATGATCGCTCTAGTGCGTTTTATGACCTGTCATTACATCCGGACTCATTGCCGTACTGCATCTCAACATTTCTTATGCCGGCACTCTTTAATGCAGTTACTCATGTCGTTGCGACACCCAACCATAGTTATTTTTGTTGCTATTTTATTATTTCAATGAATATTTGTTGTCCGATGAACATCTGTGAAAGGGTCGTTCGCCCCAAAGGCTGAAAACCGCTGCCCTATTGTATTTACCAGTTAGACATTAACATGTGAAACAGTGACAGTTACTATAGTGTTAATGAGTAAATATTGTCACTGTCAGCTAAATTCTGAACACTCACATCGCGTGGGTTATTTCCCCTAGCCACTGATTCATTCACATGTTCGTTCATTCATTAAAAGTCTGATGTCAGCGCAAATGAGCCGGTCTCTGCGCACACGATGGCGTTGACGAAAATGGAAAGGAAGTAACGAGCATTAAATTACTGCTTTCCGGGCACGAAAGGCCTCGCGGTGTCTGTCGACTCATACATTTCTAAAACTGCCGCTTTCACGATTTCATGCGCTGCAACATAACGTCTCCAAGCAAATCTCTGCACCAAAAGTCAATTTTTAAGTGAAGGCTATTTCTGGAAGTTGAAATTAGAGCTCAAAGTTGCTCAGAGACACTTTCCAGTGCAGCTGAAATAAATTCTGTTATTGTGACACGAGCTGGGCGTTGTTGTAGGAGGACGCAGGAAAGGGAGAAGTAATGGAAGAGAAAGGTTGGTAAAGTAGCAAGGCAGCAAATCACAACAGGGAACACAACCTGGAAGACAGCAAATCACAACAGGAAACACAACCTGGAAGACAGCAAATCACAACAGGGAACGCTGGGTATTCAAAGCACACACACAAACACACACACAAAGTAGGAAGACAGATGAAGGATCTACATTCAGTGTTCATTACATATCTAACTATATAATACGTCTTAACTAGGCGTGTTGAATGCAATGTTGGGGGCGGGGGTGGAGGTGGGGGGGGGGGCTGTCCCCGTTTACAAAGATCGTGGATATCTGTCTAGGTTTGCCTCTGACACATCCTGCTTCGGCGTGGTATTTTAAAAACCCAGTTTGTCTACTTTGTTCGATCCCTGCTCTCTCGATCTGAGAGTAGCAAGAACTCTGTAACACCACTTCCGGCAGCCTAGGCTCGCTGACCGTGGCCACGTTTTGCCACTATTGCAGTGGTTTCCCGATTACCTAGATCCTGTTACTGTCCAAGTTCTCCCTCCGACTCCATGCTGTTTAACAGTAACACTGGAGAAACAGCTTAACAGTAACACTGGAGAAACAGCTTAACCGTAACACTGGAGAAACAGTTAAACGGTAACACTGGAGAAACAGTTTAACAGTAACACTGGAGGAACAGCTTAACAGTAACACCGGAGAAACAGTTTAACCGTAACACTGGAGAAACAGCTTAACAGTAACACTGGAGAAACAGCTTAACAGTAACACTGGAGAAACATAATTTATCAACAATAGAATCGCAACAACAATTACATTCTTAACCCGAGCTTTACACACAAAAAATGACACCAGCAACCCCTTCAATTTGTTTCCGTTGGCCGCTGTATTGAAGAGGCTGCACTACACTTCCTCTTCACGTTCACCGGGTGTCAACTCCGGCGGAAAAGTTCTGTTTATTTGTTCACCTCTGAACTTTAGTCTTGTTCCAAAACCCGAGTGTTGCGTGCACATCCACATCCGTTTGACAGATCTGACTTACTTCTATGCAGATTGTTGGTTCTGTGCCTCTCAGGCAGATGCACTCCGACTTCAAAGGAAGCCACAAGACAGTGGACTTTAAGAACAAGCATATCGGGAAGGTAGTTGGTATATTCGTGTTTTCCACACAACGGGGCCCTGCCACCCAGACGGGGTGCTGGACTATTGTTAGTCATATCGCAGCAACCAGCAGGTAGATGCGATTTCACTCAAGTTCAACCACAGCCACACAAGCCTATCTGTAGGTCGAATGTATCTTACAAGCGCCTGTATATTATTGAAAGCACAAAATTTGTACATTGTAAACTAACATTCATGTCGTTAGAGGTGAATAATGAAAGCCGATGTGAACTGGATACCGAATCCCATAGAAAAGCTACAAAATTCGATTCTCTTGGTAAAAGGGTATTGACTTGAGACAGCCAAAGGATAATGCTTTTTTTTTTTTCAGAGGAAAAAGAAGAAGCAGAAGAGCGAGAGACGAAAATATGGCTGGATAAAAGCACTCACCTGGATAGTACTGTCTTTATTCTTTTGTGTCAGCTTGTCCCTGATGCACTGAGACAGCGTCACTCCCTGGTTGATACACAACACTGGACACTCCTCTCGGACAGCCTCGAAGCCACCTAGAAACCAGAACATCCCCACGTCAATAAAGTGGAACGTCAGGACACTGACACAAGGTCACATATACCAACACTTACCTGTCCATGACTGAATGTGTACTTTATGAATCGCTAAAGGCTGATCTATCAACACGTCCGTCGCTACACAACCATAACGTGAGTTCAACACGTCCGTCGCTACACAACGGTAACGTGAGTTCAACACGTCCGTCGCTACACAACCATAACATAAGTTCAACATTCTTGTCGCTACACACCGTAACGTGAGTTCAACACGTTCCATCGCTACACAACCATAACGTGAGTTCAACACGTCCGTCGCTACACAACCGTAACGTGAGTTCAACACGTCCGCGCTACACAACCATAACGTGAGTTCAACACGTCCGTCGCTACACAACCGTAACGTGAGTTCAACACGTCCGCGCTACACAACCATAACGTGAGTTCAACACGTCCGCGCTATACAACCATAACGTGATTTCAACAGCACAAGAACCGTTAGTGGGTATTCCCGGTTTCAGCTTCCCTACAAAAGTGTCTCCCCGTAATTGCTCCCCTTGTGTGCCAGCAACAAAGTCATATCAAATGTCTCTGGTAAACACTAATGACTAAAAAATTAGTTGAGCAGCCAGAAGTGCCAACACCATCAGTCGCCACTAGAATTGCATTTATTCGCTGAAAGAAGTAATCAGCCGAGACAAGTTGGCCTTTCACTCGCAATAATAATGGACAATATATTTAGCCAGCCCGAGGGATCCCAACACGGGGAAATAATAATCTATGTGAAGTATTCACAGATTCGTCGTCTACAGTACGTCTGTTTTACAGTAGGTTTGTTACAACATTTGTTGTGAAAGTGAGCATTATATGCGGTCAACTTCTCGGGTATGATGTTTTCACTAAAAGACAATGGACGGGAAAATGTCTCTGACAGTATTTTCATAGAATTCAACTGCCTCCGACAAATTGTTAAATAAATTTAAATAACTAACGCGGGAGGCAATACGATATTTTTGCCAATAAGTCTAAAGCCAAAAAATGAGCTGCGTCTCTCTCCCCCCAATCCCCTTTCCAACCACATTTCACCAGACAAGGAGACTGCACGCTGACTGGCACCGTTTCGTGTTTGTAATGTCAGTATTACCTAAATCCTGTCCAAGTTCTGCCTCCGACTCCACCTTTTAACAGTAACACTTGCCTTGCGTTGGTTTCGACAGTGGTATCAATGGGCCGACTGTCCAGGAGCAATGGCAAACTGCTGGACGTAAATTTGCCTAGAGAAACCACACAACAGCCAGGGGCTGCTGGGGTTGGTTCTGCAACGTCCTGTCAAGGATACGCAACTAATGTCAGTATTACATGGAGCTAAAAGCTGTCCTGTTCCATAAAAAAATAATCTATGAATGAGCCGAGACCTGACACACACATGTTGTAGTTATATCTCTGTACCTTAGGAGGTGTCATCAGTTTAAAAACCTGAAATGTGTTGCTGAGCGTTTTCATGTTAACATGTTTTTATTTATTAATTAGTATGGAGTATACAATGTATATGCCTTTATGTTATTGAAATGCATTAGTTCCTTAATTAATTAATTATACAACTGGGAGGAAAGGGGGTGGGGGAGAGGGGGGGGGGTTAAATCGACCTGTTTTGGGATATTCAGTTTTCTGCTCAAGATATTAGGGACACACTATGTAGGAGGGAAAACGCCCATGACATCCTCCCCTCCCACAGCCTAAGTCCGGGACAGTACTGACATGATTAGTGCCTTGACGGATGTCAAACAACAACAATGGTGGCGAAAGGAATGCGTTAACAATAAACCCCAAACCCATGGTGCTGGTTACATACAACACATATGAAAATCAGTTAACAAATAATTCAAACGAAATTTGCGGCTAGTTTGGCTAATTTTGATATCATCAATAAAACAGCCGCTCCTATCATTGTCAACACTTCGCACAAATGCGTTGTTACCACTCCCCTCAAAACCACTGGCGCTAACACAAAACAATACAATGAGTCGACAATTAATAAACACCACACACACACACAGACTGTGTCCCCTCGTTTTACAATAGACATCTTCTCCGTGTTTTCTCCCAACTTGCGATAACATCCTTACCCACACAAGGCCGGTTAGTTACAACAGGCTTCTTTAGCCTTTACAGGCGCCCAAATGGTAGCCATTCTAGAGGCTGAACTAGGTATCAGCGATCAGCCTCGTTGATCTTGTATCTAGATTTAGATTGTATAATCTTAGGATTGTCAAATTATCAGTTAGTAGCTCCCCAGAGAATCAACCGGAAAGAAGCAACTCAGTAGTGGCCAAAGCGCTATCTCCATGGAAACAAGAGACATCATTCTTAGGAAACAATGACATGGATGACAACAGCATCAGTCGTCATGACAGTATTTTATCACGTGTCGTGCCGATAGTTTACGTTAGCTACCATGATTTGATATCTCACCGGGAAACCATAATCTTGGATCAGGTCTGTGTCCTTGTCTAGTACGTCATTTTGTCACATCATGCATGTTATTACTGTGACCTCCATCTAGTTTGCCGCTTGTTTCCTAGTGTGACTAACGGGGAGCAGGCTGGGGTACTGACGGGGAGCAGGCTGGGGTACTGTCGGGGATATCTGTGTAAAGCGATTCTCTTCGTCAAAGCAAACTAAAATATCAAATATCCCCTGAAGGCTTGATACAAATTGCTGTTTGTTTGTTAAATACAAATCAACGAGCAAGCAGACGGTAATCATAACATAAAGGATGCTAACAGGTCTTGTAGTCGCCGCGATGTAGCGGCTAGAGGCTCGACCGCGGATCGCAAAGTTGTGACAAAAATTATCTGGGTGTCTAGGTCGACACAGCCTGGAGTGGGTGCCAAATATAGTCCCGGGAAGTAGAGGCGGCTGGCGTGACGCTGACCACATCACTCACCAAGCGCCGATTGGTCTATAAAATATTGGTCGAGCCTTATATGCCCAATACTCCCACAAGACGTGGAAAAGGGTACTTTATCACTGACTTTGAACAGATCTTCTGTTATGTCGTGCTGTCCTATACTGTTACAGCTGTTATGTCGTGCTGTCCTATACTGTTACATCTGTTATGTCCTGCTGTCATATACTGTTACAGCTGTTATGTCGTGCTGTCCTATACTGTTAAAGCTGTTATGTCGTGCTGTCCTATACTGTTACATCTGTTATGTCCTGCTGTCCTATACTGTTACAACTGTTATGTCGTGCTGTCCTATACTGTTACAACTGTTATGTCGTGCTGTCCTATACTGTTACATCTGTTATGTCGTGCTGTCCTATACTGTTACATCTGTTATCCTATACTGTTACATCTGTTATGTCGTGCTGTCCTATACTGTTACATCTGTTATCCTATACTGTTACAGCTGTTATGTCGTGCTGTCCTATACTGTTACAGCTGTTATGTCGTGCTGTCCTATACTGTTACAGTTGTTATGTCCTGCTGTCCTATACTGTTACATCTGTTATGTCGTGCTGTCCTATACTGTTACAGCTGTTATGTCGTGCTGTCCTATACTGTTACAGCTGTTATGTCGTGCTGTCCTATACTGTTACAGTTGTTATGTCGCGCTGTCCTATACTGTTACATCTGTTATGTCGTGCTGTCCTATACTGTTACAGCTGTTATGTCGTGCTGTCCTATACTGTTACAGCTGTTATGTCATGCTGTCCTATACTGTTACAGCTGTTATGTCGTGCTGTCCTATACTGTTACAGCTGTTATGTCGTGCTGTCCTATACTGTTACAGCTGTTATGTCGTGCTGTCCTATACTGTTACAGCTGTTATGTCGTGCTGCCCTATACTGTTACTGCTGTTATGTCGTGCTGTCCTATACTGTTACAGCTGTTATGTCGTGCTGTCCTATACTGTTACAGCTGTTATGTCGTGCTGTCCTATACTGTTACATCTGTTATGTCGTGCTGTCCTATACTGTTACAGCTGTTATGTCGTGCTGTCCTATACTGTTACAGCTGTTATGTCGCGTTGTCCTATACTGTTACATCTGTTATGTCGTGCTGTCCTATACTGTTACATCTGTTATGTCGTGCTGTCCTATACTGTTACAGCTGTTATGTCGTGCTGTCCTATACTGTTACAGCTGTTATGTCGTGCTGTCCTATACTGTTACATCTGTTATGTCGTGCTGTCCTATACTGTTACAGCTGTTATGTCGTGCTGTCCTATACTGTTACATCTGTTATGTCGTGCTGTCCTATACTGTTACAGCTGTTATGTCGTGCTGTCCTATACTGTTACAGACAAATCACATTGATGGGCTATAGGATCAAGATCACGACGCTCTTGAGAGGGACAGTCTATTATATTCAGACTATGGACTTGGCACAACAGATTTCGTCAACATATGTTCAAATTTTTCGGTGTAGGAAATACGGAGACGTGTCCCTGCAGCGTGGCACCCGAAAATGCTGAGCATGTGCTCCAACACTGTCAACTGTATGCCGACAACAGAGATGCAATCTGGCCTGTTCCAACCACAATAAAGACAAAACTGTATGGTACACAAGAGGATATGGATTGAACGATAGCTTTCATAAAGGCTACTGGGCTCCTGATATAAGTTTTCTGACAGAAGAATCGAAGAAGAAGAAGACGCTCTTCTTTACTTCCCTTAACATTTCCTGGTACGCAGTTTAGGCAGGGATACTAAGAAGCAAAGATAATTTTAAACTCCGCCCTGACCAGTTGTGTGTGGTCACCGAGCCAACATACAGACGTTAGCTCAAACAATATAGGGAGTTACTGTGCTGGCAGGGATGGACCATAACTGTTTCAATCATCACTTCCTTGAAGCCCGTTCAAGTGCGATACAGCGAGCCTTACGTCATCTGTACTAAGTTTAATGATCAAAGCGGGACGCACAGCAGGTTCATCCGACTTCATCCCACACAGCGTGTGATCTATGTGGGCACAGATGGACTGGCAATA